TTGGATTTTAGTGATCAAGTTGTATGTGAAATGAATTAAAGAAAAGCAAACTAGACATACATTAAAGAGATCTGCTGATAGAAGCACTAAAATCTTATAACTTATGTACACTAATTTTTGTGGTCTATTCGACAACCCTTCATGGGGTGATGTAAAGTATTCAATTATGGTTATATTTATCTACTACATGAAATGGCTCAATCAATGGACTATCTAAAGATATACAATGATGAGATAGAAAGGAAGTTAGATAAATAAGTAAAAGATGTGAGATCTCCCTGGTTTGGTGAATATTATTGTAAGTTCAATGAAAGAGGATAATGTCCTAGTCCATTTGCAAAGTTTTTCTTGAGATTTGAAATACTTGTGTGAAATACACTATAATTGAGACTTCTCAACGTAATGGTATTGTTGAGAGGATAAATTGTACTTCACAGGATATGGTTAGGAGTATGTTGAGTAATTCAACATCAACGTTTTCTATGTGGATTCATGCATTAAAGACTGTTGCATATTGGGTAAACATGGTTTCTAGTAAAGTAGTTCCTAAAATACCTTATGAATTGAAGGTAGGAAACCTAGTTTAAGGCATCATCATGTATGGGGGTGTCGAGCAGAAGTAAAAGTATATAATCCACCTGAAAAGAAACTTAATCCTAGGACAGTCAGTGGTTATGCATTAGATATTCGAAAAGTTCTAAAGGATATAAGTATTATAGCCCTAACCATAGTACGAGAATAGTTGATTCCAACAATGCTCGATTCATTTAAAATGATCAAATCAGTGGGAGTTTAAAACTGCAAAGTTTGGATGTCAAAGAAACTCGGGTTGAACAGTCCAAACCCGAGAGTCCATCGATGGTTGTTATTATTTTAGTTACAGTATCGTCATGTAACTTAGATAAGTAACAAAATGATCCAAACTCACTTGATGATGAATTGGTTACGAACAATCAAGAAATTATAGAACAACATTTGGTTGATGAATCACAAGCCATGAAAAGTGAAAATTTTGGTAAAGTTGAAAGTTTGAAATTTAGTAGAATTACCTGAAGGGTATAAAAGAGTTGTGTGTAAATGGGTTTTTCAAAACCAAACACGACTCTAAAGGTAATATCGATATAAAGCTAGACTTGAATGTTACATCCAAAAAGAAGGCATTGACTACAAGGAAACATTCTCTCTCGTTTTTAACAATGATTCCTTTAGAATTGTAATGGTGATGGTGGCTCTGTATGATTTTGAACTTTATCAAATAGACATAAAGATCACCTTCTAAATGATAAACTTAAAAGGAGATCTACATGACCTAATTAAAAGGTTTTGAGATCACAAGAATGAAATGTGGGTGTGTAATTTGAATAGATCGACATATTGACTAAAACAAGTCTTTCGTCAATGGTATCATAAGTTTAATGATATTATCACTGCTTATGGTTTTGTAGAGAATATCGTAGATCGATGTATCTACATTAAGGTCAGTGGGAGTATATTTGTTATTTTAGTTCTGTATGTCGATGAAATATTTATAGTTGCTAATAATGTGGACATGTTGCACGAAGTAAAGTATTATCTCTCTGAAAATTATAAAATAAAGGATATGGATGAAACGTCCTTGGTAAATGGAATAATAATATTCCGGAATAGATCACAAGGACTAAATTATTATCCCATAAAAGTTATAATTTGAGAGTTTTGGAGATAATTAGAACGAATGGTTGTTCCGTATAATACCAATTCATAAAAGGGACATATTTAGTCTAAAATAAATGTCCAAAAGGCGAAATGGAATAGAAATTGATGGAGAAAATTCCTTAGATATAAATGATTTGGAGCCTTAAAAGAGACGAACCTGTATTTGGTTTGATAACATATTTGTTGTTGGTACATTAAACAAATATATAAAAGTGATCCCTAAAGGATTATTTAAATGCTGCAAAGAAATTTTAAAGCATTTATAAGGCATTAAAGAATACATGCTAACTTAAAGAAGATCCAAATTATTGGTTATAATTGGATACTCCGATTCAGACTTTTGCTCATAATAACTAAAGGAGCAAGATTATGGAAAAGTGGAATAAAGTCCATCATCGTGACTTCCATGATTAAGTTAGAGTTTGTGGTATGCTTTGAGGCCACAAGTCAAAATATAGGGCTACGATGCTTTATCTTAGGACTTGGAAATGTCGATATCTTGTCCAAGCCGCTAAGAAATTATCCCAGTATCGTAGCAATAATATTTCAAGGAATGACAAGTATTCAAAGGGTGTGAATCACATAAAATTGAAATACTTGGTCGTAAAAGTAGAAGTAAAGAACTAAAGTGTCATTTGAGCATTCTAGTACTACTTGCATGAAAGTGGATCCATTAAAGGGTTATTCCCTATAGCCGTTGCAACGCATATAAAGAAAATTGGGAATAAATGGGGCCTTGTTGGACTGACCGATACTGAATGAAATTGTTCAATAATTGATTTTGACACTTATTGAATTCAATTAAAGATGTTTAATTCTTCACACATAATACCATCATTATGGATATTTGATTTTATAGTATATACATAAATGTTTGATGGCTTATGGTTATGGTACGAAAAGTTTGTTCCATACTAAAGTAGAAATTGAATTAGAAATGATCTGTGATACATGGAAGGGATCATGTCGCTCGAAGACTTGTGACCGCCATGACTCGATTAATTTCTATTTTGATTTTAACCTTATCGTTATATATATTCAATTATAAGTTTGATGAAAGGTGCGCGCTTAAAGTAGTTCTTTGGGTTTCGACACTTATATGGTCCAAGTGGAAGAATGTAATAATATTTTATATTATTCTATTATTGTGGACCATATAATTAATTGGACCTAATTGAATTAATAGTCAAACTTAATTAAGGTGAATATGTATTTAATGGATTATTAATGTTCTAATATTAAAGAGTCTGATTTGTGATGTTTGACTTGGACGTAAGTTAGGTTAGAACATGGGGAATGATAGTAGGATTAGGATTCTAAGTCTCCTCCTATATATACTACATGCCCCTCTCTCCTATCTCATACGAAAATAGAGTTCTCAACATCAAGAGGTTTATGAAAAGACGAGAGATGCGTGAGAGAGAAACACACAATTAGAGATTACGGGAATGCATAATTAGAGATTACGGGAAAGAGGGTCATGGGAAAGAGGATCATCGTAAATCAACCGTAGATCAAGAAAACAGGGAAGGACTATAAGCTGGATTTTTGTAAGTTTTATGTGCAATTTAATTTATGCAAACGATCCATGTTCTATGAATTGATAGAATTACATGCTTAGGGTTTATTCAATTACGCCTAATAGTTATGAATATACCCGTTAAATTTCTTACACGCTCTAGTTCCATCCGTTAAGCATCTGACTTTCAATTGGACCATCTATATAATACTATGTTCGACTGCTCTTAAGGACATGTTCGCGATTCAATTATCATAGAGACACGAGACAAGAAAAAATGTTTGGCGCCTTTGTTTTGCAAACCTAGTTTTGGGTGCGAGATCATTTCCGTTTGCGTTAGAGACAACATTTGAAGAACGTTCAACCACCGAAGGTTTGCCGGAATGTTGACGAAAATTGCCGGATGAGTTATCAAAATAGTAGATACTACACTTTGTGGAAGGTTTTCTACTTGTGACTTGAAATCTGTACGGCCGCAAACTTCATTTGATAACAAAAGTCCACGGGTTTGAGGGAGTTAAATCCTCTTATACTTGTGTGTGATTTCATATAATAAAAAAAAAAAAAATCTATGGGGCATTGGATAATTTTTCTTATGGAGACATCTATATTTTGACACATGTCTAAAATATATTTATTGCAGGACTCGTGTCAGCACACTATTTGTGAATGATTCCATAAATCGTGTCATCCCATGACTCCATAACAAAACTGTAGACAGTAATTTCACAAACTTTAAATTACATACACCCAGAGTTCCCTATATTTAAACTTTATTTCTATATTAATTTTCTCATTCACCCTTAAATAATTTGAAATTTTCTACGTTTCCATTTAAAGAAATGGAATGTGAATAGGTAGAAAACTAAGTGATGCTTGTTTATAAATTCAATCCAAAAAAAATTCAATCATTTTTAACTCAACTACTTTTTTAACTTAATTTTAACTCAATCCACTATCATCAATATAATTAATAATATCAATCAATCAACCCACTATCATCAATATTATCAATATTTAAATAATATCAATCAATCATTCTTACACACAACATCAACTTTAATTTACTATTCATCTAATCACATAATTTTAACTAACCACCACATCATATCTTCTCTCTCATACTTTTACATCAATTTAATTTTAATCATTTTATTTTAAAAATTATTTTAATATACCCACAAACAATTAATCATACCAACTTTTTCAAATTTAACCAACCCAAACCAAAAACCCAATCAAAACCAAAATAATTTATAAACAAGCATGCTCTAACCTTTTCTTACAAAAACCTAGATTGCACTAGTAAAATTTGGGCATTACAGAGGTGACAAAATAGAAGCAAATTGTACTGAAAAGACAATCACAAAGCCTGCCCTTATATAGATATACAAATTCATACTAACGAGAGATTCTACGGTCTCGTTACGAAATTCTTCTATCGGAATTTATAACCGTTAGATCAACTATCCACGACGATTACATGATGATCTAATGATTAAATTCCGACAAAATAATTTCGTAATGGGACTGTAGCATTTCCCCATACTATATATTATGTGTGATGAAACAGATACATGAGTGGCTTGGCGTGAAATGAGGCCGCAGGGTATGATATGATATACAAGTAGACATTAATCACGACCCTATTTTTGGCATTTGTTTTGTTCCCATGTCAGATGATCCATTCTTAGCCACTCTCATCTCACCATCTTTCAAGTCTGAACAATAATAATATTGATTTGATTCGATTCATCATCTTGAGGCCATAAAATAATAAAATCAAATGGCAACGTCGAGGAGTCGGCCCTCCTCGGGCGGCGCTGCCAATGCTCTGGGGCGCCGTGTGTCTGACGATTTTGACGACTACGCCAACAACTACACGGTGGTGATGCCCCCGACACCCGACAACCAGCCCGCAGGCGCAGGGGACAAGCCCGACGGGCCCACCATATTCCGTGCTCCGTCCTCCAGGTTCCGCTCCGAGTCACAGCCGCCCGGGAAGCTCGACCGCAGGATGTCCATACTCAACAACAACAACAACAACGATAACAACAACAAGTCGATGCTGTTGAGAAGCCAGACGCAGGATTTCGACCACAACCGTTGGCTTTTCGAGACGAAAGGCAAGTACGGGATCGGGAACGCGTTCTGGCAGGATGACGACTCGTTCGACCACGACACGGGGATGAGCATGCAGGATTTTATGGACAAGCCCTGGAAGCCTCTCACCCGCAAAGTTCCTGTTCCTGGAGGGGTTATCAGTCCTTACAGGTAGCTGGGATAATCAATAATGGAAAAAAAATCAAGTCAGGCTAAGAATCTAGATTAATATTATTTCCCTTCCTTGGCAATAGGGTCCTCATTGTGTTCCGAATGATAGCATTGGCTCTTTTCCTGGCATGGCGGGTGCAGAACCCCAACCGAGACGCCATGTGGCTTTGGGGAATATCCATTGTGTGCGAGATATGGTTTGCCTTCTCTTGGCTGCTCGATATCTTGCCAAAGTTCAACCCCATAAACCGAGCGGCTGACTTGTCGGCTCTCAAGGACAAGTTCGAGACGCCCAGCCCGTCAAACCCCACCGGCCGCTCGGACCTTCCGGGAATGGATGTGTTCATTTCCACAGCTGACCCCGAGAAGGAACCTCCTTTGGTCACAGCAAACACGATCCTCTCGATCCTGGCCGTTGATTACCCTATCGAAAAGTTGTCCGTCTACATATCGGACGATGGTGGCGCCATTCTCACCTTCGAGGCCATGGCCGAGGCTGTCAAATTTGCAGAGGTAATTGAGTTTTGGTATTACGTGTTATGTACGTGTGTTTTTGAAAAACATAGCCTCATGCTGTGTACTAACTGAGATATAGGATCATTCTTATTCCTTTAAAAGACTTTTATGTAGTCTTTTTTCTAATTAATGAAGCTTCATACTAGGGTCTTATCAATCTTAGGAAGCGTCTGCCCGGAAAATAAAATAAATAATTAAATGAACACAAAGAAACGAGTTCTCTAAGCTCATTCAATACCTGACAAGCTCAAAACCGGTTGATATGCAACAGATATGGGTGCCGTTCTGCCGAAAGCATGACATCGAGCCAAGAAACCCCGACTCGTACTTCAGCCAGAAGACGGACCCCACTAAAAACAAGAAGCGGCCTGATTTTGTTAAGGACAGGAGGTGGATCAAGCGGGAGTATGATGAGTTCAAAGTAAGGATCAATGGCCTTCCGGACGTCATAAGAAAACGGTGCAAGATGTACAACAAAAACGAGGAGTTGCAGGAGCAGAAGCTCGTGCGGGAAAAGAACGACGGCGTGCTCCCCCCTGATCACAAATCCGAAGTCACCAAAGCCACGTGGATGGCTGACGGGACCCACTGGCCAGGGACGTGGTTTGAACCTGCGGCAGACCACTTCAAGGGAGATCATGCTGGAATTTTGCAGGTTGTTTTAAACAGAGTAATCTCTTTCCTGTTTTGAATTATAATTATACAATTTTTTTTCTTTTTTCTTTCTCTAGATAATGAGCAAGGTGCCTGAAAATGATCCTGTAATGGGAGGACCGGATGAGGGCACGTTGGATTTCACGGGAGTTGACATCCGCATCCCAATGTTTGCATACGTCTCACGGGAGAAGAGAAAATCGTACGATCACAACAAAAAGGCGGGCGCCATGAATGCTCTCGTGAGGGCGTCCGCCATATTGTCAAATGGGCCCTTCATTCTCAACTTGGACTGTGACCATTATATCTACAACTCCAAGGCCTTGAGAGAAGGTATTTGCTACATGATGGACCGTGGTGGGGACCGTGTCTGCTACATACAGTTCCCACAGAGATTCGAAGGCATAGACCCCTCTGACAGATATGCGAATCACAACACCGTGTTCTTTGACGGTAAAAGACCAAATTATATGTTCTGTTTCCCACATTTTCTTCTTGTTCTCCAGTTCATGTCTCTTTTTATGATATCAGCGTATTTGTGTTGTGGAGTGTTCCCAATCACCCAAAAATAAACAGAAGAGTCGATTCTATATTTTTTCTGGAAAATTAGGCCTCGATTCTAGTTCTTCTTCTAGTTTTGAACAGAGCGGTTTTCAACTTTGCTTTATGAAAAACTAGTTGGAGTTGTGATTGTCGACTACTGAAAACCACAAAACAGGGAACATGAGAGCTTTGGATGGTCTTCAGGGACCAGTGTACGTGGGGACGGGGTGCATGTTCAGGCGCTACGCACTCTATGGCTTCCCACCTCCGAGAGCGAACGAGTACTCAGGCTGGATCGGGCAAAATAAGACCCCGGCCAAGACCATAAAGCCCAGTAAGCAAGAGGACGAAGAGCCCCTGACAGCCAGTCACCCGGATTTGGACCTGCCCAAGAAATTCGGGAATTCAACCATGTTCACTGACTCCATAACCGTTGCTGAGTTTCAAGGGCGGCCACTAGCTGATCATTTCTCAGTCAAGAATGGGAGGCCACCTGGTGCGCTGCTCGTCCAGCGTCCCCCTCTAGATGCCCCTACTGCAGCCGAGGCTATTGCCGTCATTTCTTGCTGGTACGCAATGAGAGTTTTTGTTTTTATACCTGCATTATGCAGACCGACCAAGTTATTTGAGCATAAGAGGAATTTGTGACAACAGTCTTATCAGTGGAACTCAAATTCTCCAGCTCATATATTTTAAGACACTTTGTGGAGAATATCAATTACATTCCATTGATTCTTTTCCGAGTAAATTGCATTTTTGGTCCTATATGTTCATTATCCGAACTTTTTCGTCCTCTTCGATATGCCATTTTTTTATTTCGCCCTAGAGATGATACAAAAAGGTCCTTGTCGCATATAAAAGGTTATTTATGTTTTGCAAAAAAAGTTGCAATTTCGTCCCTTGTATGCTAGGGGACCTTTTTGTTAACATATTTGCAAACGTCAAGGACGAAAAACAAAAAATCAATTGGAAGCCGACGAAAAAGTTAGGGTAGTAAAACATACAAGACTAACTAGAATTGCAATTTACTCTTCTTTTCCATTAAATCCACATATATAACATTGTGTAGACACACACACATACACACAGGTACGAGGACAATACGGAGTGGGGGGATCGCGTCGGGTGGATCTACGGGTCGGTTACAGAGGACGTGGTGACGGGATACCGCATGCACAACCGCGGCTGGCGCTCCGTCTACTGCATCACGCGGCGCGACGCCTTCCGCGGCACGGCCCCAATCAACCTGACGGACCGTCTCCACCAGGTCCTGCGCTGGGCCACGGGCTCCGTCGAGATCTTTTTCTCCCGCAACAACGCCCTCCTCGCCACCCCTCGCCTCAAGTTCCTCCAGCGCATCGCCTACCTGAACGTCGGCATCTACCCCTTCACCTCCCTCTTCCTCGTCGTCTACTGCTTCCTCCCGGCCCTCTCCCTCTTCACCGGCCAGTTCATCGTCCAATCCCTCGACATCGCCTTCCTCCTCTACCTCCTCATCATCACCCTCTGCCTCGTCTGCATCTCCCTCCTCGAGGTCAAGTGGTCCGGCATCGGCCTCGAGGAGTGGTGGCGCAACGAGCAGTTCTGGGTCATCGGGGGCACCAGCGCCCATCTGGTCGCGGTCCTGCAGGGGCTTCTCAAGGTGGTGGCCGGGATCGAGATCTCCTTCACCCTGACTTCGAAGTCGGCTGGGGAGGACGAGGACGACGTTTACGCGGACCTCTACATCGTCAAGTGGACGGGGCTGTTCATAGTGCCCCTCACCATCATCATCATTAATCTGGTGGCCCTGGTTATAGGGTTTGCGAGGACGGTGTACAGCGTGATCCCGGAGTGGAGCAAGCTGCTCGGGGGGGCCTTTTTCAGTTTCTGGGTGCTGGCGCATATGTACCCATTTGCAAAGGGGCTGATGGGGAGAAAGGGGAAGCTGCCCACCATTATATACGTCTGGTCGGGCCTCATCTCTATCACCGTCTCATTGCTCTGGATCGTCATCAGCCCTCCCGGCGGGGCGCAGCCAGGTGATGGGGGAGGAGAGGTTAAGTTTTGATCCAACACATTACTATATTCAGTTCATTTTTTAGGGGACATAATTACAACCAACGACTTGTACTGGTGTGGGGTTGGTGTCCATAATTACTTGACAGTGTCATCATTGCACAAGAAAGCTATCATTACCTGAACAGACACATAAATGGTAAGCACAACTTCATGGCCCTTAAACTCGATATGATGAAAGCTTATGACAGGGTCGAGTGGATATGTTTATATGCTTACCAAAATTGTTATGTATGTGTATGGACATATCTGGATTAGTACAAAGAAAGTGATGCTTCTGCAATTTTTTTTTTTTTTCATGGTATTTTATCTAATTAAACTCGAGATAGGAAATTTGGTAATTTAGTGAATGACCTTGTTGTAATGTTTTCAAAAAGATGAATACTTGGTGGTAGACATGTCCACGGGCTGAACCGGCCCGTGAACCGCCACTGGCCCGGCCCGAACCGGCCCTGAACCGGCCTCCTAAGAGCCGGTTCATTGAACCAGAACCGTAGGGCTGCAGTTCGGTCCCGGTTCCATTTTCTTATTTTCGTCCCGCCGGGGCGGGGCCGGTCAGGCTGAGCCAAATTCTTTCTTTTTTTTTAAGGGCTGTATCGGCCCGTGAACCACCGAGTTGGTTAACCGGCGGTTCACGGGCCATGTGCTGGAGGGCCCGACCCGGCCCCAGCCATGTGTTGGAGGGCCAGTGGCCCGGCGGGCCCGGCCCGTTGAATGGCCACCTCTACTTGGTGGTGGAGCGTTTGCAAATAGCTGTTGGAGGAAAATAATTATAATGTACCTCATTACCCACTAATTTGGCCAGAGAAAAGACAAAAAGACATATTAGAGTGATAAATAATGGATTTGTAGAATAGATGGTTATACTTGATAAAGAGGGGTTTGAAAAAATTTCAAAACTACAAATTGGAATTAAATGATAAATTATTTCTTCATAAGAAACATAAATATTTGTTACAGAAAGGAGAAATAAATATAATAAAAAAAAATGTTACTATAAACTAAAGATTTTTTTCTCAGATTTCACTAATAACATAAAATTAAATATAAATATTTGTTATTTGGATCATTATATTATTACATCACTTTATTAAATATTAAAATAATAAATTATTTTTCATTTTTAAGGAATTTACTAAAACATATTAAGAAAATCAATTATATTAATGTTCTTATAAGTGTTTTTAAATGTTAACCGCTAATACTAAAAGATCTAACTTTACCAAATACAATTTTACAAACGCTAATATAATCAGTTGGTCAAAACAGCTAATACAATTCACTGGTCAAAACCACTAATACAATCTATTAACCGCCAACTGAAACAGCTTATTGCCAAACAAGCCCGATATATTTGGACTTCGTTTTAGTTAAATAAATATGTAAATTATCCTGCGAAAAATTGTATAATTATGTAACTTTATTAATGCTCCTTGTTAAAAATATTTTTGTTTGGATAAAATATACAAATTAAATATGTACAGTTGTCATAATATAATTTAATTAAAGTATCATAACCTATATCTATCTGTATCTATATATATATATATATAAACAGATTTACCATTTTTTAAAAATAGAAGGTCAAATTCTTGGTCAATTTCAGACACATTAATTAGTTTCTAATAATGGCAGTTTTTTTTTTTCATTTAATACTTAACCCTTAAATCACGGTCCGCATAAATTGATTACATATAACATTAGTTTGTTAATTTGTTAAACAAGCAGCCCAAAAAAAGGGGGTCTGATTTGTTTGGAAAAAATTTGAAATATTCCATCTTATTAAAATTTAGATGTGTCATATTGCTATTAGGATACTTTATATAAACAAATCATCTCTTAATTGAAGGGATTTAGTATTCAAAAATATACATTATCCAATCCTAATTTGAAAGTGTTTTTTGAGAGTATATAATTCAAACAATAATAATCATCGGTAATTAAACATAAAAAACATTGTTTCCATTTCATAAAAAACTCATTTTTTTAATTGTTTTATTTCCCATAAAATTCGGTTACACGTTTACCCATAAAAATACATCTATAACAACACACTTTGCAAATAACAAAATACCACCATCGAAAGAATGGAAATCCCCTCCAGTGTCGTCTCTGACATTCAAAGAAATAATAAAAGGTAAACATACATATATAGTCACGCAACCAGGGTCAATAGGCTAATAACAAGAAGCGAGAACATGTATTAAATTATACTAATATAAACGAACTAAAGGTAATAAAACCTTTTTTTCCCGAAATTCACCAAACTGTTAATATTTGAAAATAGTGAAATAATGATATATAATATTTCAGATAAGGATATTATATAAAAAAATTAGGAAGAATCAAATCTCTTATTTATTAACTATCCAAATCACACATGCTAAATATAATTTTCAGAACAATCAAAGTTAAATAGAGTTTTAGATTTTTCAATTCTTTAAAACTGATCCAAATAAAAAAAATCTACATTTTCTATTCTTCATATAATCATACCTATATATATATATACTATTCATTTCATCTAACAGATTTACAATACGTCCGAAATTCAATCTGTAAGTCTTACTATTTTATTTTTTTTCTTCATCTTATCAAAACTCTACTGGATTTTCTTTTTCAATAGCAGCAAAGGTCACAGAACAGATTTATTGACGGGATGAAGAGGAAAAACACAAGTAACCGTCGAACTAACGATAGAGATGGCATAAGTCTTCGAACAACACAAACACCAATGATACATGATGAAGATTCTAATCCAAGTAAAGTTTCCAACACAGTTTTATTTGTTCATTATCATTGTTCATAATAGATGGTTTAATATCATATTGTAACTTTTGCAATTTTAGTTCTAAATTTCATTCCTATATGAACTGTAACAAATATTTATATATTAAAGAATTATACCTTTGAGTTTGTTCCAATTCTGTCATCTGCATGCACATGTGTTCTCATCATCCTCAACCATGAAATTAAGAAAAATAATTAACTATTAGATATTTTATATATAGAATTAACAGTACTAATAATCATGTTCTGTTTGTATATATAGATATAGAAAATAATACAAATATATCATATTTAATATATGAATATGGTTACCTATTTTTTTGTGTTCATTTCATTCATTTTTGCTGGCAGCTTCTTCACCTTTCATTTATGATTCTCCACTTGGACACAACAAATACAAAACAAAAATAGTTAGAATTGATACAAAATAAAAAGTCATTATACTATATGATGTAGATTTGTTGAAATTTGACAAACATAACATGAATATTATTTAATATTGTTTACTAGATTTGGTTTAGTAGTTTAATGACAACAAGTATAATTCTTTACCTGTTGAACAATAGTCTATTCCAACATCCTCACTGTAATGTCATCATACATAAGATTATCCAGTACAGTCTCCTGTTTGATCTCTCTCTCTTTTTTTTTTTTTATCACCTCACATGTCATGGATTAAAAAACAATGTGTTACTACACTTTTGTACAACTCATGTGACAGTGAATCTAATTGTTCATGTGTGGTGAGAGTATTTACCTTTATATTTCTTTAAAGTTGTCATATAGTTAATCTCCTTTATGCGTTGCCTGTCGAATATAACATAATAGACATGTATATACAAAAAAAAAAACAAAAATTATTAGAATTAGCATTCATGTTTACATCAATCGAATGTTGAAGTCCAAACAAAGTTTATTTTAAAGAACCGTTCAAAATCGGATTTTTTTTACTAATTTACTTAGTCAGTTTGTGTAATTTTTGTACATAAAGATTAAAAAATAACAGAAATTTCAAACAGGAGATCTGTAAATAAAAAAAGATAAGTATATACAAGTTTTCCCAATAGTTATCAGTTAAAATTACTCACCTTTTATTCAATCCGATTACGAAAACATTCAGAAAGTCCTTCGTTAGGGCAAACAAAGCAATAGCTTCAACTAGGAGCAAAGCCCTGCATAACACGAACAACCGTCATTGGAACCGAAATAAACATAATTTATTTGTTCCTATCTAAGAAAAAAGCGTTTTGTTTCGTAGGATCTGAAAGATTCCTGAAATATATGTGTTTCTTCGTCGAATTCAATAGAAATTTGTGATTTCTTGTCGGAAAAAGTTGAAAACAATAGCCATTCTTTGAAAAAGAGCTTAAATCCGAAACAAATCGTCATTTTTATGACCGAAACATCAATTTTGAAAACAAAATTTATATTTCATAATTGTAATATGTACAAAAACAAAAATCTGAGCAAGAAAAGTATTTTTTGCTTACAAAAACATGTTAGATCCAACAGACAGCCTGACGATCTTCATTTTTCTGCGTGTTGTTTTCATAATTTTACTTTGATTTTCCAAAAAATCATCTGAAAAAGAGCGAATAATACAAAGTTAAAGAGAGAAAGCGCAGAAAAATGAAGACAAACCCTACATTTTCGGTGAAGACAAGGTTTTATACCCGGTCAGATTAGATGTGAACCGTACGATCCCGTTGACCTTATCGTGACCGTCGGTTGTAATTTTTTTAGATGTTGTAAGAGCACCCACAATGCTTTGGGTTTTTTAGAAAAAAGTTACATGCCATGTAAGAAATAGACCTAGTCTATAAAAAAGTGTTTTCCAATGCAATTAAAAGTGGACCTAGTCTAGCTTATGTGGCAATAAAAAAATGAGACCTAGTCCACACTTGGGTCTATTTTAGACCCAAGTACAAACCCAAGCACTCATCATTTATTCCTCATTTAATTTTTCTTTTAATAAATAAAATATACTAGAGCATTTTTATTGGTTATCATGTATTCTAGACCTAGTACTTTTTTGTTTTGCATTGATAGATTTTGGTTTTTTTAGTTTAGGTTTGTCCATGTCATTGGACTTAAGCATATTTATTTGCCACATATGCAAAAAGAGACCCAAAGCATTGTGGATGCTCTAAGGCACCATATTATTGGTGTCAGTGCTTGTTCAACTAGTTCTGAAGGTACAAG